AGAAAGAACTTTGCACGGCATAGAAAATAGAAGTGATACTGTAGCATCCCCAAGGCCATGAACGCAGATTTCGGATCAAGGTGGATAGTGGCTATGTTTAATTGGCTGTCGTTATGGTTTTTTACACACGCAACAATGTCATTGCTGTGGTGGGTGTTGCAGTCTCTCACATGAATTGCTGTGTTCATTGGTTCATACAGCCATATATGGAATAAGCCTAAAGCAGTGTCATATAGTGTCAGTATACTTGTCAAAACCTTCAGTCTCCGCAGCACTGTACAATGATTCATGCGTGTCTGTCAAATTATCAGTCAATAGCGACAAAGTATGAAATCGTGTTTCACGACGGTGTGTGTAGGCTTCGCAATTGTTACTGCAAGTATAGTCTCCATTGCCTTAGGAATCCGATCTCCGTTTCTTTTCCCAGTCATGAAACTGCTACATGTTCTGTTCTTCTATATCGAGCTCAAAATGTCAAGTGTGGTTTTAATATTACCTCTCACAGTGTTGTTATCACATCTTGCAAATTGCCATTATTCCTGTTACAGTGGTTATCATACTTCACCAATACCAGGCCATTTAGGACCATGTACCACCCGGCTTGTTTAATTTTTGCATCAAGTGTTACTGTGTCAATTACTGTTCTGATTTTTCATTCAGACTGCTTCGTATATTGTTCGGGAACCTTGCTTAATTGTAGCCAAGCATTATAAAGTCAATGAAGTACCTGCTGAGTCCTGTGTTTTATACATTCTGCTAGGTTGAGTATAAACCTACCAGAGAACACCACGTGAATACGTACACTTGTGTTTCAAAACACTTCTTGGTAGGATGATGGTTAGCCAAGTCACACATTTGCTTGCTTTTTACCTGCTGAGAGTGGGTTGTTAGTCTTCCAAATCAAACATGATCCAACACGCCGGGGCTGCGTGTTACACGCTAGGTTGTATGTTGCAGTTAATTAGTTCGACTATAGTTTTTTCACGTCAGGTGACTTCGACATGTTTAATCCGAGTGCAGTTCATCAAAAGTGCGTGCATCATACAGGTAATATCCATTTTATTGTTCGCAGAATCGTTTTCGAAAGTCTGCACCTACCAAATGATGACAAGTTGACAACGATGTATGTCAGAATTCTGGTGCACATGGTAGTCTTTTGACTACGGGCTCTTTGTTTTTTTGTAAGCACCAGTGCCACACCAAAAAAGAATACACAACCACAACGACCAAAGACCCCCATGCAAACACCAAGCAACATAAGTAGATCCTTCTACATTTATCTTAAGAAGTGGGTGATTAAGCCAGCTAAGCTTGGTCGTGCAGCAATAGCTTTCCTACAATAAATTTTTGAATCTTAGACATGGAGTACAGCCTTGTATGTGATAAACAGAAAACCCATGAACTGGTGTTCCCACAGTAGTGTCTTCAAGCGGAGACCATGAATTACCTAGCTTCGTGTTGGACCAACTAGTGAGCTTAATCAAGGATGCAAATACCTTACCGGCTTGTCTGTAAAACGCCTCGCACGAGTACGTAAGATCTGCTCAATCGCAACTTTCGGTAACAACGTATTGAAATATGTACTGTGGACAATGTTGCCGAAACCAGCATGTTCAACCATTCCCATAGATCTGGAGAAACTTCGGGAGCCGGAGCCGCAGTTTCGGGAATAATGGAAGATGTTGGTAAAACCAACACTTTCCATGATCCCCCTTCAGACAAATCATGGAAATTGTTGGTCGCACCAACGTTTCCAGCAATTTCCATGAATTTGGAAAAACCTCGGGAGCCCGCACCATAGTTTCGGGAATCATGGAAATTGTTGGAAATGTTGGTAAAACCAACAATTTCCATGATTCCCCTCAGAGAAATCATGGAAATTGGTTTTACCAACATTTCCAACAATTTCCATGAATTTGGAAAAACCTCGGGAGCCCGCGCCATAGTTTCGGGAATCATGGAAATTGTTGGAAATGTTGGTAAAACCAACAATTTCCATGACTCCCCTCAGAGAAATCATGGAAATTGTTGGTTTTACCAACATTTCCAACAATTTCCATGAATTTGGAAAAACCTCGGGAGCCCGAGCCATAGTTTCAAGAATCATGGAAATTGTTGGAAATGTTGGTAAAACCAGCAATTTCCATGACTCCCCTCAGAGAAATCATGGAAATTGTTGGTTTTACCAACATTTCCAACAATTTCCATGAATTTGGAAAAACCTCGGGAGCCCGCGCCATAGTTTCGGGAATCATGGAAATTGTTGGAAATGTTGGTAAAACCAACAATTTCCATGATTCCCCTCAGAGAAATCATGGAAATTGTTGTTTTACCAACATTTCCAACAATTTCCATGAATTTGGAAAAACCTCGGGAGCCCGAGCCATAGTTTCGGGAATCATGGAAATTGTTGGAAATGTTGGTAAAACCAACAATTCCCATGATTCCCTACAGACAGATCATGGAAATTGTGGAAATTGTTGGCTTTTCCGACATTTCCAGCACGTTCCATCGATTTGGAGAAAGCTCGGGAGCAACAATACAGTATACGCTACACTTAGAAGCCCAGGGAGCCACAGTAAACGAAAACGTGCTTTCCCAGAGACGCAATGACCAAGGAACACAAACAAATATTAGGGACAAGGTGTCTGGCTTGAACAGGACACAACCTGGGTACCGGGGGGGGGTACCATATATATATATATATATACACAGAAAGCGTTATATATATATATATATACATCTCACGAAAGTATTAACGATTAATGTTAATCCGGCACAGACAGCAGCTACAGCCAGGAGGTTGCCAAATAATGAGTGCCCCCGAGAGGTAATGGCTGATGGGGAAAAAGTGATGGCAGCTCCCGGCAGCGCTGTCTACCGTTATTTCAAGAACGCGAATCCGGTACACTACTGCACAATTCCGAGTCTGATGAGAACAACCACGCGAAGCTGAATACACTAGCTCTCGAATTGGCCCCCGAAAGCTTCAAAACATCCCCAACTCATTGTCACGGATAGTGCAGTGCACGGAGGTCTGAGTGTGCTGCTTCCGCCGCCAGGGATGACGCCACGTTCGGGTCTTACGGCTTATGCCAGTTGAGGCTGTCGAGTTTAGAGTAGTTCAAGATGGAAAGAGGTCGAAACGGTGTGACTTCGCTGTTCCTAACGACTGACGGCTTCTGCAAAGGTATACGTGTGGCCTATACTTTCGACCCTTAGTAAGACTTAGTACGAATGCATCGTTTGAGATTTATTTGGGGCTCAGAACGTTCTAGATTGTAGGGTATACATGCCACTTGCGCTGACACTTTGGCTCGTCATTGCGTACACTCGGACTCCGCATAGAAGTAGCAGCTGCGCCTCGGTCATTCCGGGCGGCAGCACATACATTCATACACGTTTCTCCTACAGGGAGAAATAAGTATCATGCAGGAGTCCAGCATCTTTAACTTAGCCAGCTGCAGGCATGCGACCACCCGAGTCTTCTCCACCAATGCGTAGCACACCTGCGAACCCCCGGATGTAACCAACAACGGCTCCATTGCTGTTTGTACATAATGTAGATATAATTACACAAACATACATACATGCATACCTTTTACATGCACGCATGTGATTGCGTGTGTGTGCGTGCGCATATTTTTGCACATGCCAGCTCTTATCATATCATACCATATTGTACAATAGCATACCAAACCATATCATATCGTTTCATGTCGTGGGTATTTGAGCATGCAACGTACATGCATGTCTTTGGCTCTTGCTTGATTTGTTTATGTATCGATTAGAAATTCATGTATACAATTATGTGTTTCTGTTTGGTTGGATTGGTTGCCTGCATCACGGACGTACTGCCGCAGTGCAGAACCAAGTCAATGAATGCAGGCAAGCACGTTGGGTTTTGTTATTCTGAAGCAACCGGTAGCTGAGGACGCAGGAGCAGAGCGTTCTGGAGTTTGAGGAGGTTGTGGTGCCCTTGACGGAGGCGCTTGTGAGACTGCCGCAGGGCTAAGACAGTGCAAGCCTCTGAATTATTGGTTTTAGCCTTAAGAGCCAGTCCTCAGAGACCAAATGACCATGCCATGAGTTGCGAAGATTGAAGCATGGTCAAACCGGAGCAAGCTTTGGAGACAATGGGGCTGGAGCCCGGGCTGCGTGACAGATCTCGTCCCGGGAACTCTTCCTCGCAGAGCTGCTGCAAAGTGATCAGCTGGGCACCTGGAGCACTTCAGCGTGTGTCCGGGGTTTGGGACTTGAGCTAAGCTACTGTCGCTGCCCTTGTTGCTTCTGCTTACGCCTACAAAAGTTCTGTTCACGACTAGTCCGACCACCGCCGCCCAAGACCGAAACACATGCTGCTCGACATTTGTATGGCCCTGTTGTTGCCATGTCTAAACCAAGGTTGCAACACAATTAGTGTTGCCAGTATGCAACTCCTACTAGTTCATGCTGCTGCCTCTCCCGTCTGTATCCGCATTGGTTGCTTGATGTGTGCACTAGATCGACGATGTGTGTGCGATGACCGGGCATGACCGGGCCAACTGAGTCTCCCGTAGACTCTCTTCGTAGGTGCGTAGGCCTTCGTGCATGGCCCAAAGTAAGAACCTGGAGTTGAGGCCTTCTACGACGCTAGGCTATAAACCTGCAGCCAAAGGGGTAGACTTCAGAGTCTCCATAAGCCCTAGAAGCCGTATGACCCTGTAAAGTCATCCTACAGTCCTCCTCGCATGCTTGTGCCTTGCTGCGTCCGTGAGCTCTTGGCTCGGCTTCGTCCGGCTTTGTCACAGTTTTTTGCATCTTAGAAGCCAACAACTTATTCCGTGCAGGTCAGGAAGCCCTGTAATGCAGGTAAGAAGCAGACGCAATCTATGTATGTATTCCATATATGTAGTTTAAAATATTATATAACACTATTATAAAAGTATATGTATACGTACATACACATGACATATGTATCGGTTTGTCGGTTGCTTTCTTTATGATCGTGGAACAACTTCATGCTTTGGAGCCTGCCGGAGCGCTCCCGAGACCGCCCCCCGGAGCTGCAGTGAGACCAATAATCCTGAGAATAATAATATTAATACAAAAACGACTAACAATGATATGAACTGATAATCATCATAACAATCATTAATAGTCATAAGTCATAACCCTAAACCCCAACATGAACAAATAGAAAAAAAACACCATAATGAAACAATAAGAATAGTAGTGATCATAGCCAAGGATTCGAAGGCGACTTTCACCGTTGGATGCACGGTTTGGGTTTTAGGGGCTTCGGGCTTTAGGGCTCTGGCCCTTCTTTGCAGGGTTTAGGACCCAGGATGTAGGGCGCAACGGAAGGGTGGGGGCAGGGAGGCAGGGAAGTGATTTTTGTTGTTGTTGTTGCTATGTCGGTGAGGGGAAAGAGGGAACCTCTGACCGCTTCGGCCGAAACCATGCGACTTACCACGCCAAGGATTCCAAAATCATGACCGAGTGTGCGTACGATGCTCTTGTTGTGTCGGCAGCCTTGTGAAGATGTGTGGGGCCATGTTCGGGCGCTCGGGCCTGACAGGGAACAGGCTTCCGAGGGTCTCCGTCTTTAATGCGATTCAGGCCCTCCGCGCAAACCCAGCCCAGGAAACCTCTACATGAGACCATGCTGGGCGCTTCTCCTTGTTTCGGCCATCGCGGCCCGGGAGGAGGCGGGGGGTTTGACGCATTAGGTCCTGCAGCAACTTATGAACCATCAAACCCACCTCAGAAAGACCTGCAGGCAGCTTGGAACTCCAATATGGTATCTTCATGACATCTGAAAATTCTCATGGACCTCCATAAAGTCCAAGTGAAGCATTACAAAGACTTACAAGGCCCCCACGACAGAGTCAATAAAGATTGCCGACCTCTGTGCTTGTTATGTGTCGGTGCGAGTTTCAGTCTGCAGCATCGGCCGGGCCTCTGTGGTTCCAAACAAAGTCCAGGGTATTGAACCGAGATTGTTTCGTGAAGGGCTCAGACCTGAATCAGAACTCTAGGCACAATCCTCGGCATCCCTAAACCCTAAACCCTAAACAATGCGAGAGGGAAAAATCCGCATGCTGGTCCCTGAGCCCTGGAAGCCCAAACTCCCCTCCAAGCTTACTGTCTGAACAAGAAGGCTTCCGATAAACGGCCTGTCTAAGCAACTGATTGGTGGGGAATACATCTCCACACACATATATATATATATATTTATGATACACACACACATATATATATATGTGACAATATGTTAATATGTAACAATATGTTAATACGAATATATTACTACTATATTATATTAGTATAATAATACATTAAGATAGTAAGATATGAATACATATTAACATATTAATACATGTTAATATATTCATAAATTAATATATTAATATACACTATACACATAGATAGATGGCGGAATCTATCAGTCTCAGTCGCGCTGCAATACAGGTCCAAGATTGCCAAGCCTTGCACAGTTTGAAATAAGGTTCAGGGTTCCTTGCGTGACGTTGCAAGGCAGTTGCAAAAGGTTCCGTGAAAGCACCATGGGCTATGGCCCTGTGTGCTACCTTCTGGGTCGCTTTCGGCCATCAGGGTCGAAGGCGGGAGCTCGGCCAGTCACCTCTAGTAGAGGCATCCTTTAGGGTTCGAGGTTTAAGCTTGTGCTTCTCGTCGGCACCCCCTGATCATAGCTTTTTCATCTTGAAGTCCACGTCCAGTAGTTGGATCCAGCCTAATCGAAACGATCGCCAGATGCACAGGATTTCCAGCATTGTGCCGACGCAGCAGACGCAGGCGACAGCGCTGGTGTATGTATGATGGCAATAACGTACCACCTTCGGTTTGGTTTGAGAGAAGGTCATACTGCTTCTGCACATTGGTTTAAACCTGGGTGCATGCGCCTTCAAGCGGGCCGTACCAGTACAAGATAGTACAAGCAAGCAGACATGCCGAAGCATGCATCTGCCCCATGCGTACGGACACATGTTTGTATGTGTGTGTGCCTGTGCGTGTGCGGGTGGCTGGGCGGGTGGGTGGGCGGGTTTGCGTGTCTCTCTGTGTGACTGTGTGTGTGTGTGTGTTTTTGTTTTGTTTTGTGTGTGTGGATTTGGCAGCCATTGCAACTCAAACAACGGATCTGCGCGTCCAATCTCATGGTTTGTTATGATCTCGGGTTTTGCTGGCGGTGTCGACATGATTGCAAGGACTGCTCTTGTTGCAGACTCCTGACCTCAAGGTGCAGGCGATCGAGGCCGAAGCAACACTGCTTCTGATTCAGCTGCAGGGGCCGGGGGTCGTCGTCCGAATAAAGCCTACTTGCACCGCAAAAGACGCTGGGCCTGGACAGCAGTCAGTCTTGGATGCGATGTCACGAAACCTTAACCCCTAGCGGCTTCATAGCTTCTGGAGGTCCCCGTGCGTCCAAAGGCTGCAAGCATTTCTTCCGACGGACTTCTGATCAAGGACAGATCATGTTACCATTGCTCGCGGCGCCCTGCTGGTTTCGGTCTGCGAGCGGCAACAGCACGACCCGCATGCGAGGAGGTAGACGAGTTGATCTCCACTGTGGAGTCTGCGGGGGATCCCGGTCAAGAGGGTGGCGCGGTGCTGCCAAGCTTCTTCTGCAATGGAATCAATGGACATAGTTCTCACTTGACTTAGCCTCTGCTGCCAGACTCGGGCTTCCAAGAACACATGTTTTGCTTCAGGCCTAAATGATTACCAATACTATCCTGGGGCTCTTTAAAACAACTATCGCACAAGAAACCCAAAACAAGTGCTAAAGCCCCTGTAGTAGACAGAAATTACTGAAAAGAGCCGGGTCTCTGCAGCGGCCCAGGCCTTCACCTCCTGGAGGGCCAGGTGGCCGACTGCGACTGCAGCTTTGAATCATCTTCAAAGCCAGACTCAGCCGCTGGTCTTGCAGAAACCCGAAAACCTATAAACCCTACGCCTAAACGCCTCGTCCTTGCTAGGTAGTAGGAGGGGAAAAATCCCGGTTTAGGCGGGCTAGTTGGCTTTCTCTTTCCCTGCGGGGCTAGGTCTCAAAGGGTCCGGCAGGTTTACAAAGGATCTGGCAGAAGTTTCTCACAAGCTCTGAAGGACGTATGGTTGCCTCTCTGCTTGGAGCTTGCATGCCCTAGGATCTTTTCTCTTTTCGGTAAGTTCGGACGGGTTCTCTGCCTTGATGCTTCCAAAAGACAAATTTGTTGAACAGGCGACAGTTGCAGAAGAAGCTCAAAAACAACAATCTTCCCGACACCACCACCACCACCACCAGCAGGACGACGACAACCCCTACTTCTCTTTTCTCTGCAGCAGCTGTCGTAAAAAAGCAGGTGATGCTTCTCCACCACCGAAGGGGAAGTGCCATTGCACTGGTTGGGAACGGGAAGGTTCGGGAACTGTTATCAACTCCCACGAAGCAAAGGTAGATGAGGCGAGGGAGACGAAGCATCCGGAAAGGTTTTTGATCAAGGCTCAGTAAAGGCATCGAGAGGCCCTTGGATGCCCTGGGAGTGCGTGAAATCCAGCATTACCTCGCCGGTGCCTTTTTTGTTTTTTGTTTTGCAGTTTTTCAGCCTCTCTCTCTGTTAAGCGTCTGTTTATCTTTTTCGAGTTTGTGTTTGTTCGAGGGTTGGGTGCCCTGTAAAGCGTTGTTTGCAGATTCCAGTTTGCAAATTTCTCTGGCAGCGGCCAGTGATCACGTGCAGCATGTTACTGCGACAGAGCTGTGGTAGTTCGTCTGTATGATCGCTGCTGTGCCGGATGTGCAGCTGGTTTCGAAGTGCTCGAGAACCAGTCTAAAACGGCCAGGCTATTGGTCTCACTGGCCCCAGTTTTGGTTGTAGCCGTGCAGAACTAGAAGTGCAGCTGGTATTTATGGAAGAGGGCCAGTTCGCCAGGGCTACAAATGTCATGCTGATCCCCGTGCTCACTCAAAAGTGACTGCTGAGTCTCCAGAGTTTGGCCCATGCTTTCTTGATGTAGGGCAATGTAGGGCTATTTAGGGTTGAGGGGAAAGCCCTGAAACAGTCAACCCTGAACCTTGTGTTGTCATGGTGGAGTTGTTCTTTGACATTCAGAGCGTGTGACAATTCGCGTCGCCCGAACTGTAGGCCAACTATCTTCAAGTTTCAAGAATCGGTGGAGCTGAGCCGAGGGTGTACTTGCATAGCACGTCTCAGCTTAACGGAAAGGTGGCGCCGAAGGTTTGAAGTGCTGTTTGCATGCCGTTGCTTCTTGTATCTTCGTGTTTCACTTTCCGTCATACTGTTTGCCCGGACTGTCGCTCGCTCTCGTTTTCCGTCTCTCTTTTTCTCTCGGTTTGACGCCGCTGGCGCTCTGAGATCCATTTTGCACACTCAGGATGCTGCTGCATCCTGATGTGGAGGAAGAGTTCACAGTGACTGGAGAAGCTTCTGCGCCTGAGATCATATATTCTCTACCGGGCCAGGCTTGAAGGAGGATTTGGAGGGTTCCTCTGATCGCTGCCGGAGCTCCAGGTCGGGCCTTCTACCGGGGGTGTCTTCGACGGTCTCTGTGTTGTGCCATCTTCTGTTTGCAGAAGCCTTGCTTCCAGGGAGTTTTGGCTGTTGACTGCAGAGCTCCTCAGGCAATCCCAATGCCCATCAATGCGACGGATGGCACGGTGACCATAACCGTGAAGAAGAAGAGGGGTGTCGACCCCAACCTGCAATACATTTTGGCAGAAGGTCGGTGGCTGAAAGATGCCACTGGGAGTTTGTGGCTGCAATCTCCTCATGGACTGGGACCGCCAGAAAAGGTTCAACACCGTAGTTGCAGTGTTTCCACATCCGCTTGAGTTTGGCTTTGCTTGTTGAGGCATCATGCAGCAAACGGAGTCATCTTAAGACCTGTAAGCACTTTTCAGGCTCAGGCACCAAACTTCTTTGGCTGCTCGCCGACTCCGGAAGTCACATTGGAGTCAGAGGCTCCGGGTGTTGGGGCTCTTTCGGCAATCTGGGGGTCCTCTTCCACGGCACTCTGCGACCTCGGCACATCTGTTGCTATGTTTCCCGATCTATACTGAGAGACTCATAGCTTCAACTCCTGGAGCCGGTCATGGCTCGTAGCTTCGCATGTCCCAAGAGCTGTCATGCAACTCGATGTGCCAAGGACACGGTGGTCCACACCATCAGGGCTATCCTGATTGCTGTGGTCGCGCTTGTTTTGATAGACTCTGGTCTGGCATTCATGTAAGGGTTTGCTGCTCCGGGCTCTTCAGGAATGCTCCTGTGGAGCACAAGTTGCACGCATGGCGGGGGCTTCTTGTTGTTCCTAAGCCCCAAGTAGTTCATCCCCACTGCCTGAAACCTAAATCCCGAGACCTAAGCTCCAAACCCTTCACCTGAAACCATGTCCAGAAACGCGCAGGCGAGCAGGGTATGATCCTACCTTTGACAAAATAGCAGTGAGGTCCGGGAAAAAAACGCGCCCGTGTGCACATCCACAACCAGTAGGTTCCTTGTAGTCCTGTAGCACTGTAGCACCAACAGAAGCTGAAAAGACCTTACAACCCCGAGATTGAAACCCCAACTACGGAATGCTGCCTTCTTCACAGCACGCAGGCCCTGAACCAGAAAGACCTGAGTAGGCTCACGTTCACGTCGGAGCCGGGCAGACGTTGATGTCGCATGTGCATGGACTGGTTGCAGGTGCACCGGGGTTAAGACCGCTTCGCTGTGCTGCCCCTTCGTCGGGTGTGCTGAGGCCTTGGCGGGCACGATGAGTGGACTGAGTTCCCTGGTGCAGCAATAGAACCGACATCTAAAGTCCTAAGTTGCATGACGGTGATTACTGGTATACTGGAGCATGTAGATGTAATGACTAAATCTAGACTCTGTCTTCAGCTTTGCCCATAATTGCATAAACTCAGCACATCGTTATTCGTGCAAGTCGAAGGTAGCCATCAGCCTGATGGCTTCTTCTTAGCTTTCTCAGGCCTCGGGCTTCTCATCGAATGCATGTTGCCATCTGTATCAAGGTTTAGGGTTTTGGGTAGGGCTTATGATCAGAGTTCTCTGGTCTTTGTCGTTATGACTCAGGAAGGAAAAGCCGCTGATTTGCAAGGTAAGCCTAGATTTGGACTCGACTCCCTTGTTGTTACATGTAAAGCTGGAAACTCTCCAGAGGCTGGAACATCAACCGGCGGACGCCTTGAAGGCGTTCATACAGGGAATGCTTCATTAGACTAGGACTATGGGCTTTGGGTATCTTTAGACTAGGACTACGGGCTTTGGGTCTCTTCTTGTATGATTATATCCTGGCCGTTCCGCTGAATCCTCAGTGGAGAGCCTGCCTTCCCTAAACACAAGAAGTTGGTAGAGCCGTGGAGGTAACATCGCAGCATTATCTGAGGCTCTATCCTTGGCTCTCTTTGATGAGGGTTTAGGGCATGGCAAGTCTGTGCAAAAAAAGGGTTTAGGGTGCAACAGTCAGCTCAACGATTTGGCTCTATAAGGTTCGCAGATAATCAGGCCTGCAGTAGTTCGTGCATATTTTTATTTTGTGTGTACATCTTTGACTTCAGTATTGGGCGCATGAAGAGACGTTAAACCCTAAACCATTATAAACCCTAAACCTAAACCCTCAACCCTAAACCCCTAAACCTATTCCAGCCATGCGAGAGGGAAAAAAAACCGCTAAACAATAGACTTCCAAGCACATGCGAGAGGGAAAAAAAACCGCTAAACCCTAAACGCCCACTGCCTCGCGGGCTCAGGTTTGGGCCTTCTCTCGGTCAGGACCACCGACCTTGAGGCCCATCGACTCTGAGCTTCCATGCTTCAGGGATTAAAATGTAGGCACCTGATTAAGAAGCCCTGGGCCTATAACCTTAAAATGGTAGGATTCATAAGCACGAGCCCTAATCAAGGCCCAAGGTCTCTTCATCAGGTTCCCAAATTAGGTTTCTTAGACAGCTCGTCGCAAAAGGGCTACAAAAGGCGGACAGTTTTTGTTTCAGCTCGTGCAGAATGTAGATTCCTTGTCCTGTTCCTTGCGCAATCCGACTTGCCAAAGTTGCTGCGCTTCCTCGCTGCAGTTTCCCGGCGAGGCGTTCGCGCGCTCGGAGGACCCGGAGCACCAAGAGTTGGGAAGATCCTTTTTGCACGACTCTCGACAAAATGCGAGCACATGCGACTTATCTCAGGGATCACGCTGTTGAGACCGTATTTGCCTTCCCTTCTTCCCACTGCTAACGCAGAGACTTCGCATGACCATGTCCTAGAGTCACGAAGTCTGTTTCAGGTTGTGTCCGACAAGCACCTGCTGCTTGTGACACTGCTGCTTGTTAATACAATGGCGACGGAGACGTTGCCCCTGGTTCTCAATGCCACTTGTCCCTGCATGTGCAGAGCAGAGGAATAGCTGCAGGAGTTTATCTTCACATGCGCACGAATTTTATTTAGATTCTGGTGAGTTCACCATGCAGTACGTAGGCTCTTCGTAGACCCTTAAGTACGAGGTCGCGTAGCGAACGAAATCGTATGATGGAGGTAGTTCCGACGGCGACCGCCATTTTGGCATAAGTGGTTGCCTGAAAGCTACCATAAGTGGCAGTCACAGCGATGACCACTGTCGCACACACCCCCAGCAGATGTAAGAGCATTGCAGTCACAGATGCCTTACTGGCAGTGACTTGTTAGAAGCCCGTACAAGGCGGCAAAGTCGTCAAGGCAAGGTTACCCGCAAGCTCATGAGCAGACGGAAGTAAATTTCGAGGTATTTACAACTTGAGGTGCGATGAGATCACAAAGAATGATTGCGGTACATTGGCATGATCAGTTCCGCGATGCCCATTTGCTGCCGGGGCCTTCGTGGGACAATTCAGCGCAGTGAGAGGAGCGTGCCCTGCGCATTGAACTTATTCCCCTCACATGTTATAGTTAACGCACATCAAGTGCTCGGTACCGGATGTGCAGTGGTTCCCCGGTCTCACCAACGCGATCAAACATTCAAGCGAAGCAACGCGAACACAGACGCACAGACACAGCACCCGCACCCGCACCCACACCCACCCGCACACGCGCACGCACCGCACAAGCACCCACAGACAGAGAGGGCGAGAGAGTTGGTGACGACATGCGCACATACGCACACGCATCCCTATTGCACATACCTGCACCCTGACTTCGTGTAAAGCTACTAATTACAAGTTTCGCAAAGCCAGTTCCAATCTACACCCTTAAAAAATGAACCTCGAGCAAGCACCTGGCACTCGGAAACCACAGAGGAGTGATGCAATTCCAGGGTCATGATCTTAATTCCAACAACCTGTCCTACAACGAAGGTCATTGCAAGCAAGGTGAAACCTAAAAGCACTAGTAAAACCCTCCACCCAGCGCTCCAAAACCTAGCCCCCAGAACGCAAATCCCGATGGGGGAGCCAAAACCTTCACCGAAGCCCGAGACACTATACCCAGACAAACCTGTTAGCCGAAGTAAGTCAGAAGCATTCCTAGCCGAAGGCCGGGTATGTGGCATTGTGCGGCTAGCCAAAGGGAGGGTTCGTAAACATGGGAAGGTATACGAAAAGATAGTGGAGGGTCTACATATGTCGCTAGTTCTCTGGACCACGCAAGTGAGGTCGAGATGAATGCTGCTCGTTTCAAGTTGAGCATGCCGAGCAGCCTAAGTTTTAAACTTTCGGCGTTCATGTCGACTTATGCATGCAGCACGGGAGCGTGTTGCTGGCCGCACTGGGAAAATGATCATTCCTTTGCAAGCATTTTCATGACTCGTTGCAGGGTCTCGGAGTCGGAGTCACAGACAATTTCCCATGTCAGGGTTGCGGCAGTCCATGCTGTTGCCCTATAGCCTCGGCCATCGCACAATGCAGACATGCAGCAGCGGGATCGTGATCATTTCCCGACAGAGCCCTTGCAGGCAAGATGCACGTGGAAAGCAAGCATTGTCCATCGATGCAGCCCATCGCAGCAGCAGCTCACGAATCGACCAGTATTCAGGCCAATGCAATCATTAGGAAGTGAAGATTTTCATGATTCCCGGCAACCAGCTGCTTTAACGATCTTCTGTATAGACTCGCGCGGACAAGCACATGCAACCTTTCTTGGTACCAGCAGGTTCTGGTCCCATCACCGTCTGCGCTTACCGGAATCTTGCAACTTAGCACCAGACTCCCTTCCGATTCAGGCTGTAGCCGCTGCGATTGTCGGAATTCTTAGCCTTCTGGTCGGCGGCGTGACCTGGTTGAGCACTGGTTTTGAAGCGTCATTGCCAAAACGACGGAGCGTCGACTCTTATCAGGTTTTACCTTGGCTTGACTGCAAAACTGCTTCATTTCCCGAAACATCACAATACCCGAGACCTCGTAAGCAGTCAGACCGGTTCCCTGCGGTGCGACATTGTTCAGTTGGGCGGTTGACGCAGCCAGAGCCTCCAGACTCCAGACCAAAATATCCTCGGCTTCCAAGGAAATTCTACCACAGGCGCTTTTCAGTGTGGTCTCACTGAACACACTGAGCCACTTTCTGCCTCTCGTGCAGGCCAGGAACTTAGAAGGCTTCGACGTGATGCTGATGCAGCAAGGGTTGAGGTATAGGGTTTAAGGCTGAGGGTATGGCGTTCAGGGTTTTGGGTATTCACATAAGCCTGTGCAAAAAAGGGTATAGGATGTAGGGCTTTCATTCGCGCACATAGTGGGTTTCTACACGACGGGTATATAGTGCTAAATTGTAATTCTCGCATGAGCTGTTCCGAAACTGGTCAGGGTACTCGTCCTGGTTTCAGGGCTTGCTGGCTTACTGTTGAAGGGTTTGGGGTTAGGGGTCCATGGGATGTAGCTTGCCGTCTCGGGACCATCGGACAACTGCAGGTGTTGATGTGGATCTGCTGGCCTATTGCTCGGCCGTTCGCAACAGTCTTGGACCCTCCGCGGCACCCCGGACACCCAACCTGACGATGATAAGAGTAGCCACAAGATTCGTAGCAATTTCAGTTCCAATACACACGAGAGAGAACATAATCGCAAATCTACACAGAGAAAGCATCTACCCTCTATGTCGCAGCCCAGCAAACCCAAGAAGCGCGCAGGAAATACGCACCCCGCATTCAGCGGGCCTGCAGGGACCAGAGCTGTGCATTGGGAAAGACACGCTGAACATCGAGAGAGAGTGGAGAAAAAAGGAACCTCCCAAAATAGTAAAGGTAACTATTAAGGCCCCAACACCCTAAAAAAACCCTAAGCCCTACAGATCCCTTAGAGGAACCCTGAAGCACTGACACCTTGAGTCGACCAGGCAGCGGTCGCAAGAAAGGTTGAGAGACGCCTCGAGTCAACCTGGACCTGAAGAACCTACCCTTTTTTCGGGCTCCTTGTTATGATTTCCTTATATGAGTCCTCAAAAAGCAAGCTTATTCGGGGTCCAGGTAGAGCATGGAGAGCCAAGTGCTGTCTGAGGATCTCATCTTCAACAGGGGTGGTATGAACCCCTTTGAGATGCCTCGCCAGGCGCTACTCAACTAAACAGTTCAGCTACACTTATCCGAAGCATCAGGATTTAGTTTGGCTTCTATGCCCCTAGAAGACGCCTTTCAGGTCTTAGGTGGGCAGAGGCCCATTTATTTAGGCACTCGGGTTGCATTCAAGGATGCAAAAGTTCTGAGCAATGACAAGCACGCACACAGAAACTTGACAGAGCTTGTCCTGCGCACATTTTCTTATACAGGGGCGGTATCCTACAATTACAGGAAAGGGTCCCTGATTTCTGGAATTCGGGGTGGGATCCCTTCAGTTGAGCATCCCAGGATCTGATACTGGGGTCGAGGGTCGACTTTACAGCGAAAGGGGTCCTTCCATTTTCCGAACCTCCCCTCGTCCGTCGCGTGCGGACCTTGCAACTCAGGCTCTTGGCGCTCATGCGAGTGCAGCAAGAGAAAGGCGTCCTATCAGAGCAAGAGGCTGCTCCGTGTTCGTGGGTGGGAGGGTTTCGGAAGGGTTACCGAGATTTTGGAGTTTGGATTCGGACCGGATGTGGTTTCGGAAAAAGGGTCACGGAGATTTTGGAGCTTGGATTGTGGATTCGGACCCGGTGTCTGTTTCAGTGCTGCCTGCATGCCCCTTGCCTGGTCATCATGACGACACGCATGCAGGCAGAGTTGTGTACAGTGTAATTGAATGCGGAATCGTAGTGTTGCTGTAGTCGTACTCGAAAAGTATGGCAGGAGTTTCAAGGCTTGGGAATCCAAGTTGATCCCAGCCCCGATTGTTTCAATTCCTGGAAATGCAAAACCACATGGAAAAGCACGATTCTATGCGGCTGGCTAGTCTCATGAATAATCTTTCAGTGTTGGTTCTGCGCCATGTGATTTCAGTTCCAGACCTGTAGTGCAGGCGCAGATTCTTGATGGTGCCATGGGCCTGGCAGGTAAGAAGGCGACACGATGGGGCCGAGGGAATTGGAGAAGAATTCCGGACTTGGGGTTCGGGATCAATCAGTAACGCGCTGGGATCTGCTTGAAGGTGAGACGTCCTGGATCTCTCTCTCTCTCTCTCTCTCTCCCTCTCTCTCTTTCTGCGTGTGTGGGTTTGTGTGAGTGTATATTTGCTCTGGTGTCATGTTGAGATTGGTAATCAGTACTGTTTTGAGAACCGCATGTATGCAGACGTCAGAAAATGAGTTCTATTGCTTGCACTCATTGTGCATGCATGAGATGTCCAATACCTGTACATCTTCAGCTGGGGGCACATAGACAGGAAATCTTTCGGGCTGGACAGGGGCCCGGGGACCGAGTCGCACTGATGTAGCAGTCCTTCTGTATACTTGGATAATTCGGATGAGACAACAGTCTGCCACCCTAAAGCCTAAACAAGTTCGGTTCACTGGAACTCTGAATCCAAAGCCCCTGAATTTTGAAGCCCGGCCTTAACGAAAGCCGGAAGATAACATCCAGGTCTGAATATGTTGTAATTATCCCCTCGGCCTGATAGATACACCGTTTGATGAATGAACATGCTGTTTATGCTCCCCAAAACCCTACTACAAACCCTATTCGCCCCCCGATATTTCAGAGGCTGGGGCATGCCTTACGAGGATCGAGGCCTGCCTTTTTCCAAGCGTAGCAGGGGGCATCGGGCTTCAGAACCTGAAGGGTTGCTATGGCTGCTATGGCTTTTAGAGTTGTAAGGGTTAAGGTTTAGGGTTTAGTTTAGGGCCTACGGTTTTTAGGGCTTTAAGGCTTTTAGTGTCAAGGGTTAAGGGATGCAAAGGGTTCAGGGACCTA